TTGACAGATTACTGCTTTTGAATACATCTGCATACATCGATAGAGGAGTTCCATACCTATATAAAAAATCGCATCTGAACAATCAGAGGTATTGAAGATATACCTTATATTAGCACCAATCTAAGTGATTTTCACTGCTATGTGATCGGTATGTAAACCGGTAACACAATTTATTGGGTTTAGTTTCCTACATAAAGAAGATATATCGCAAAAACTGGTATCTGAACAATCAGTGCTATAGGAGATAAAGCTTATACAGCATAGATTTTGACGATTTTCACAGTAGACTTTGTATTATTATTTATAAAATATCTTACGAAATTTATCGCTTTTAGCTATTCAAATAAAGAAGTTTTACAGTAAAATCCCATATCTGAACAATCAGATGTATGGAAGATATATGTTGTAGTCATCCGATCCTTGTTATTTTCACTGTAAGTATTCTGTTAATAATGAGTGAAAATGGTGCGAAATTTCATGTTCGTAGCTGCATAAATGGAGGAGTTATGATAAAAGACCTCATATCTGAACAATCAGTTGTATGGGAGCTATAGGTTATAGTTACCCGATCTTTTTAATTTTCGCGGTAAGTTTTCTGTAGATAATTATTGAAAACAGTGCGGAATTTCATGTTCCTAGCTATATAAATGGAGGAGTTATAACGCAAAATTTTATATCTGAACAATCCGTTGTATGGGAGCTATAGGTTATAGTGACCCGATCTTTGTAATTTTCACTATAAGTATTCTGTTGATAATGGGTGCAAGTATTGCAAAATTTCATGTTCGTAGCTGCATAAATGGCGAAGTTATAATGAAAAATCTTATATCTGAACAATCAGTTGTATGGGAGCTATATGTTATAGTGGTCCGATTCTTCCGGTTCCGACAAATGATTAATACATTATAAAAATACACCCACCTACCAAATTTCATCCGGATACCTCGAAAACTGAGAGACTAGATTGCATACAAACAGACAGACAGACGGACAGACGGACAGACGGACATGGCTAAATCAACTCAGCTCGACGTTCTGATCATATAAGTATACATTTTCATGGGTCTATCTCTTTTTGTTCTGGTACTTACAAACATCGGACCAAAGTTATAATACCATTTCATGCTCATGAAAGGTATAAAAACATAAACTGTACTTACATACATTTTTGTTGTTTTTGGGCTTATTTGCAAGCATATTTAACAATATTTTAGTGCTTATCTAAGCGCTTAAATGGGTTTTTGCTTGCTTATTTTCTTCGGATTTGGTTATTATATATTAAAAATTGAAAAAACGTTTTTGTTCTAAATATTTTAACGACATTACCATCAGTAGCAACCCAGCAAAAAATCGGTAATCGCTTTTAGTGGTAACGTGTTCTAGAAGGCATAGCGTTGTAATGCCTTGGAATTTTTTCGCTTCTTTTAGGCATTGTCGGTAATGCAAAGTAGAATATTTTATTTATTTCGCTTCTTTGTGTCATTTTGGGGAATGCAAAGTAGAATGTCCTATAATATATCTTTCTTAATTCGCTTCTTTGCTTCATTTCAGGGAATGCAAAGTAGAATGTAATACAATATTTTATTTTTTTCGCTTCTTTGCTTCATTTCAGGGCATGCAAAGTAGAATGTCCTACAATATTTTTTTTTAATTCGCTTCTTTGCTTCATTGCGGGGAATGCAAAGTAGAATGTCATACAATATTTTTTTTTAATTCGCTTCTTTGATTCATTTCAGGGAATGCAAAGTAGAATGTCCTACAATATTTTATTTATTTCACTTCTTTGCTTCATTTCAGGGAATGCAAAGTAGAATGTCCTACAATATTTTTTTTTTTAATTCGCTTCTTTGCTTCATTTTGGGGGATGCAAAGTAGAATGTCCTACAATATTTTATTTATTTAGTTTCTTTGCTTCATTTCAGGGAATGCAAAGTAGAATGTCCCACAATATTTTTTTTTATTTCACTTCTCTGCTCCATTTCGGGGAATGCAAAGTAGAATGCATCGTAGTCAGCGGAAAAATATAATGAATATCCAAACATTCTTTTTATACCGTTGCTTTCTGTGGAAATTTGTCTCGCATAAAAATCATGTTTTGCGTTGTTCAATTTACAGCGAACTTGAAGTCAGTCAATAAAGTGAATTACGTAAGTGAAGAAGTGTAAAAAGGTCAGTGATAAAAATAAAATGCGAAGCAAGCGGCATTTGAAGCGTTTAACTAAAGATAAAAGAAAGAAAATTGACTTAAAATTTAATGAAAGTTTGTGTAGTGAGAGTGTTGAACCAAATAGCGGCAACAGAGCATTAGTAAAGGGAAACATTAATGCTGAGCGTGTTATTGGAGACAGTGTTGTGACAACCAGTCAAGCGCCACTTAAGAAAAAATTGTCGGACTGGTTTTTAGAATTTAGGCCCTCCTATAGATGTGCCTCCAGTCTTCTAAAAATTTTAAAATACGAAAACCTCTGTGTGCCCACCAGTGTTACTTCTTTAATAGGCTCGCAACAAGGTTGCGTAATACGGACCGTGCCACCAGGGCAATACGTCCATATTGGAATAGGGAAACAATTAGAAAAAGTAATAGAGGAAATTATTGAGGAAGGATTAGAGGAAGTGCGACTTGACGTAGGAATAGACGGGTTGCCCTTATTCAAAAGCTCGCTAGTAGGTCTATGGCCAATCTTAGGCCGCGTATCTAATTTAAAAAGAAAACCCGTCTTCTAAATCTAAATGAAATCTCTTACAAGCTAGTATCTTTACCATACAAAGACAGTATCGTTTTGTTGCCGCTAGTACACAGTTGTATATAAAAAAAAAATTTTAATAAAAGTACGTGTATATAAAAAATAATAAAAAATGGCCGAGATAAAAAAATTAAAAAAAGAAATTCACGAATTAAAAGGTAGTATTTTATGGTTACTATACACATATCTACAATATACTATGTTACTTCAAACAATTTGGAATACATTTTGGAGCTGAAGTATATTTAATTTAACTAACTAATTCTTCCGTAGACAATTACTAACATTATTATTTTTTTTTTACTTAACAGTTTCAT